TTTGCTAACCATCGATAGAAAATTGGAATTATGTATTAAGTTAAAGTTATTTGTATCAATCAATTGGTCCCTGAAAGCCCCAGATTCAGCCAATGTATCTGGAAATCAGTTCAGATCACCAGATTTAGAGTGCCTGAAAACATAACATATTTGCCTCTCTGACAGCAGCTTGGTCTGACCCAACATGGCCGCTCTGTCAGCATGCCTATTTACTTGATGATGCAGGATTATCGATATCTATGGAGATAGTGCTTTGTCATATCTTTCAAAGGTTTAGCTCCCCTGGTGGCTAAAAGCTACACAGTGCTGCTTTAAATGATCTCATGGTTTAAAACATAATTTCTAACATTTTATTTTCTTATTAGTGACTTATTCATTGCATAGTTCAAATGGAAATTGATAAACTTCCTAAAAATGTTCTAGTTAAAAATTGTAGCTTAAACATTTTCTAACGGATGAATCATTTCATATCCGGAGAGCATGTAGAGTAGTGCAAAATAAAAGTATTAATTTGACCAAAAAAACTGATATTAAATAATTGTTTAATAAATTCTGACTTTGCCAAATAATCTAAATAATTACTCCTGGTTATAATCCTAACCCAGCAGGAAAGGATTCTGCACCAATAGGAGGCTGACGTCACATAAGGTTTTGCCAGATGCTAGTAGTTCCATGATAAATCTGAGAAAATGTTTCTTCTCTGGGCTACATTCCTGATTCAAGATGAAAAAACCAAACCAAAAAAAGAAGCAGAGAGGAATTCAAGCTCCATGAGTCCAGCTTTACAGCGATGGTGCCAACTGAAGAAGCACAGGCACTCAGAAACCACAGAGGTTCCAACTTTCCTTCTGAACTAATCATTTAAATGTTCATTAGCATTAGCATTGGGGGACCTGGAAACAGGATGCCAAACAATGAGGAACGAGAGCAGGTCGCCACCTACTGGCCAGGAGAAGTTAAAGGGCTATCTCTATAGTTATGCTGCTATAGGCTTCGACTGCTGGAGGACATAGGGACCCCTGTTTCATCATTCTGCTTCATTCTATCTCTATTCTCCCACTCTGCAGAATCTGTTAGTTCAATCTCTAAGGTTCTGCTCTGCTGCCATCAACACCTTTGCTTCTAGATGTTGGAGCTTGGCCTGCAGCTCACCAAAGATATACGCCTGAAAGTGCGCAGAAAAAGATAGCAAACGGTAAGAGCACGTGGACGGCCTGACGTAAACAGATCACCATCAGTTAGGAGGACCACTTATTGAGATGATCCACCGGAATTAAAATATCCTCCTCTTTAATTTGAAACTTGGGGCAATTTTTACATCCAGTTGCCTAGACTGTACTTTTTCAAGCTTTTAAACTTCTTCTAAATACACTCTTTAGCATTTAAGTGGCAAAGGAAATATTTATTCTAACCTTTATTAGTAACAGGACGTTATAACGAACGGCGATTAGCGCCAGGCGCACTGTGGTGATGGAAAAGAAGCCCATTTCTGGGTTTTCCTCTTCAGATTTCTCCCGTTCGCTGTCCTCCTTAACCGCTGAGCGCTCGCCAGTGTCGGACATCTGCGCCGCTAGCTGCATCTCAAAGATGGTGTCCTCGCAGAAATTCACAAACAGCTCCATCTTCTCTTTCTCCCCACCTTCGTTCACCACATCGAAGATGAACTGCCGCTTTGACTCTTTCACCTGTAGGAGATCTGTGGGTTAATATTCTGCTCTGACACATAACCAGCAGCTGCATCTTTAAGACGTTTTTCACCTGAGGTTTTTCCCACTGGGTGCGACTGGACTCGCTGATTTCGAAGTAGACCCGCTCGATGCGTTTGGCACTGCCCATAATCTCGATGCGGCCAAGATAGGGCTGGAAGTAGTTGAGGACGCTCTCCGCCAGCTCCAGGAAGGTCTGGAGTCGGGTGTCATGGGGCATGTGCTCGGACAGGTTGGTCAACAGAACCGCCACATTAAAGCCGATGTCCTGAGGGGCGAATTAGAAATGTTATCAGGTAAACATGATGCATCTGAAGCATCTGATCACCTCAGAGCGAGAGAATAAAAGGAAAGCAACACGTTTGAGTTAACTTCAGACTAACAGATGTTTTCTCTGGCATTTCTTTTGCTCTTAGAGAGAATATAGACCTGTGCACATTTTTATACCTTTTACTGCCTGTAGTCAGGCTAACAGAAAACATATTTTAAGGAAAACATCCATAACAAGTACAAATAAATAACATTTTAACAAAACAACAAATGAGTGTAATCCAGGTCATAGTCGTTCCAAAAAAGTAAAAAATAAAATAAAATAAAATCCAGTGGACTTTGTTTCCAAGTCTGAAGACGTTTCTCTTCCCATCCAGGAAGTTTTTTTCAATTCAAAATGTCAGAAATAGTGTTGAGTTTGAAGCTTTATACAGCAACTTGTTTTGGCTTAGAAAACATGCAAATTGAACCAGAAGAACAGGTCCTTCCCTTAGGAATGGGGAGTTGTTTGGGATCTTTGTTAGCCTGCAATGCCCGTTACTGGGCTATGCCTCTGAAAGGGGGGTCGTTAAGGGCAGTTATTGGCTTGGCTGCCCAGGCGAGATGTTTTGTCCCCTGTATGGGGGTGGGGGGTTGAAATGATAGCGGGAAGGAATCAAGTCATTGTAGGTTTTTGAGAGCTGAAACCTGAGTGTAAAAAAACCCCTTCACCTAAGCCCAGATCACACCGAATCTCATTTTCTGTCCGATCTGACAGAAAAACGCGCCTTACAGGTCATGGCTTTAGCGCATATTGGAAGTCAATGGGAATGATCACAATCCACGACAATTTTACGCAATGGAGCTGTAAAGCTCCGACTGAGATAGAGCCCAGGTCTATTTCAGTCAGATCATGCAGCAATTCAGCAGCAATTAAGGGGTCTGACAGGAAGTGAGACGTGGTTAGAAAGTTAAACACATCCCCTTTGGAGGAAAATACTACAGAAAATCTGTTAATCTAATGGAGAAAGAGTCAGTTTGGAGTCACACATTGTGTTTATAGTGAGTAGGACAGACTGGAGCAAAAACAATGAATGAAACATTAAAATAGAAACTTTCCCCATGATGGGAGTTCAGGAGGACAGAAACGGATAAAGTAGTGATCGTCTTTGAGCCTCACAGAAACCAGAATAAGGAGGAGCAGACAGAGCAGGTCAGCGCAGCGTATCTCTCTCACCTCTTTATGGAAAAAAGAAAGAAAAACTTGGATAAACTTCCCAGATCTCTCTGAGAATCACCTCTCTGCCTCGGTCACCATAGAAACCGTCCCACGCCGTTTATCGCTGCGTTTATCTTTTCTTTAGACGTAGATCTCATTATTTTTTAATAGATGAACATTCTCTATCTGCTCTGGTTCTAGATACTGCACAGACTCATTAAGTAGAGCTTTTCTTTATAGAATGCACTGCTGGTTTTTAAAATCTCTTTTAATAACTATTCATAGTCCCCATTTCCACGACCCTTTTGAAACCGTGCTGAGATCAGTCCGAGCATGGTAACCGAGGTAAGTGTTGAGTGTAAATGAACGCAAACTGAGACTGTGTCAGACCCAACCGAACCGTGCTAACATGGTACCAGTTAATCAGCAGGGCTCCGAGCGGTTCAGTTCTGGTTCGGTCCTCAGATAATAAAGAGCGCATCAGCAGACCACGTCATCTCTTCACAGTCAGCCTCCATAATCAGGAAATTTCAGACATTCATAGAGATCCTAGCTTCCCTACCGTGCCGCACAATTTCCAGTGATGATTCTGCTTAGCAGTGAGATGAACCTCAACGTCTTTCATTGTTTCCTGTGTCTGGAGTCTGGAATTTTTCTAGTTAGTTTGGGGATTTATAAACTGTTTTTCCATAGTTCATAAAAACGTTTTAGTGCAGCAATAATGATCAGAGCTGCTCTATGTTTCTTCTACATAACAATCTATTCTACCTGCTTTTTTTAACCTTTGGAGTTTAACTCCTTGATATTTAGTTATTGTTCATATGCAGAATGTCTGCAGAAGGAATGACAGCTTGCATGTAGAGGCTGTCTCCCCCAAAAAACTCCTGGATCAGCTTTTGTGATTGGTTGACGCTCCGTGTCCAGCGGCAAATTTTCAATTTACTGAACTCCAGAGTCGGACCCTCGGATACGCCGCTGGACCCCTCGCCACCGTCCCCAGTAGACGTTGTATGTAAACCAGATACCGAAAACCCGCCCGGTGTGAACGCAGCAGTGTTTGTGTTGAGGTTAGGATTGATTCACCGATCAAAGACTTTAAATAAACTCTCATGCAGATAAAACCAAATGCTTCGTCCTTTTCTGCTCTTATTGGATCGTTAAACCCGTTTATCGCCACGTCTCGTCAGCAGGACGAATCTGATGCTACTAAATGTGCAGCCTCATCAGGGAGAAATGTGCTACCTCACCTTGGCCGGCTCGTGGAAACGCATCACAAACTCCTCATAGTCCAGGAGTTCATTCTCATCGGTCTCGGCGCAGGAGAGGAGGAACTCGGTTTCAGACTGGGTGTAGTGTTTGTGGCTCTCCATGGCCCTGTGGAAGTCCCTCTTGGAGATGACACCTGGCAGTTCATCAGCAAAGCTTCACATCACCAACCATCCCGAATGGGGAAACCATTTCATAAGCAAAATGATGCTAATAAAGTTTTAGAGCGTATTTGCCTTTTCCGTCTGGGTCGTACTCCTTGAAGCCATCGGAGGAGGTCAGGTCTTTGAGTTTCAGGAACATATCGAAAAACTTGAGGATCATCTCCACATTGTTGGAGGATTCCACCAACATGTCGACCATCTGTTTCCCGATCGTCCCATTCACCACGTTACCTGTGAAGGTGACAGTTTTTATTTGTCACACAGTTTAACTCTGAGCAAAGAAAAACGATGCATCTGCAGGTTGAAAAGATGTTCAAGCATCATTTCATAGGCATTACGCTGCCGTGCGTTATGCAGAAGTTAGGCTGTCATTGGACAGAAGTTCTGGACTTGTTATAAATACTCTATGTATACGCCCAAATTAGAAAAAAATCAATAGAAAGTTCAGTGTATGACATCATTTTAGGAGATTCTGGCACATCAGGTAGATGCTGGATAAATCGGAAAGGTGTGACAGGGGCCAGTGTTGAAAAAGTAATTAGTTAGATTACTCGTTACTAAAAAAAGGTAACGCTGTTACTTACATTGTCGTTACTCCCATCACTGACGGGGGCCTCAACATTTTCTGCTCTGGTATTAAAAGCTCTCAGATTCACTAAAAAACCTTCATCATTAAAACCATTAATCTTCTGTAAACTTTATTCTTGATAGAAAAATGCTACTCCATTGTCATTCCGATTTATTTTGTTGAATAAATTATTTTCTTTACCTTTTCTTCATGTATAAAAAATGCTCATTCGTCTTTCCTTGACTTTTTTATACATCGTCTGACATTAATAGGTGATTTTTTTTCTTAAATTAAAGGAATTTTCCCTCAATCTAAACGGGTGTGAAAGAAAATTCCTCAATGGAATAAAAACATTTACTACAAAGACTTGAGTGCATAAAGTGCATTTCACTTTAAAGGCAGAAATACTCATTCTAATGATTTTAAAAAAAGAAAAATTCTAAAATTGTCATTGCTTTACACATATTTTAATGGGGAGACGTAAAATAATTGGATAATTCTGGCCTCCTCTTTTAAAAGAGAAACATCATCATCCTGAGGAAGAAATGTACCTTCCAGCATAGACAGCAGCATGACCACCATGTCTTTCTGCAGATCCATCAGCTCTTTAAGCAACTCGATCTGACTCGAGTCCTAAAGGAAAGAAAAGGCATAAATTATTTCATGCATAGAGAGAAAGAAGGTCGCTACCATTCATCTGCTGCTGAACGTCAAACATGCAAAACAAGAATTTTAGATTCCTAATGGAATTTACCCTTTATAGGTCACTCAGTGAAATAAAAAATATAAAAATCAACATTTCAAGCCAATAGTGTCATTGGAATCCTGGACAAGACCTTATTACCGTGGGAACATAAAAAAAAATGGATATTTTGATGGCAAAAATTATTGTAATAACAGAAACTACAAATTATCCAAACATATTAAGAAAAATAACAAAAATACTTCTATAAGAAATTCATGAAAGAAACACATTTTTTTTTGGTCCAACATAACATTAGAGGCATTAATGCTGATACTTTTTTTTTTTATAAACCTAAATATAATTAACTAGGCTTATTAAGTTTTTAACTTTTCAATTAGCTTTTTGATATTTTTCTTAACTTTTTCCCAACCTAATTTCCAGCAGGTAATAGATCATTCAAATCTCATCTAATTGGTCAAATGCCAAAATAAGATGTGCAGCCATGTTGCAGGATCTTTGCTGAATGGATGGATATAGATCTTGGTCTTCTAGACCTCACTAAGGGAGGGGACTCCATTTGTAAGGAGCATTTAAACGATCAAAAAAACGGTAACTTGCCCTATAAAGGGTTTAATACGTTACGTATTAAAAGATGAAACAAAGAGGATTTCAGTGTCTGCTCAGGTCATCTCTACTAACCTGTGATAGTTTCATCTGCATGTGAGCAAAAACATGCAGAAAGCCAACCACGGCGTCCCACAGTCGGCTGTGAGCCAGACTCTGCTGGTTGCCGGTGCACGGACCCTGCAGGACCAGCAAGACCAGCGTCAGTTTAACCCCCATTCACATTTATAAAAGCAAAGCAATCATCCTTTGACTCTGTCTGCAGATAACTGTGATCCATATTTAAACTTCTGGCCTCTAATCAAAGCCTCAGCTGCTAAAACCGTGAAAACAAGACATGCAGGGTTTTTATGCACAACGCTGATCTTCTAAGCAGAAGGAGTTCATGTTAAATGCGTAGATTTATGTTTTATTTGCATATTTTAGTTCATGAAGATGTAGATTGTGTTCTCATTTTACCGCAGCTGAAGGGTTTAACTTTCATGTAAATACACAAAAAGGACCGGCAACAATTTGACATCAGTTCTATTGATAAAAAATGTCAAAAATAAAAAATAATAACAACCAGCAGTGTTTCAGCAGAGTCAGTAAGCGGTCTGCGATATCCAAAACGAAGAACAAGTTTCAAAAATGGATATTTGAAAAACCTCAATTAAAAAGAGTAATTTATAATGTGTATGAAAAGTTCAACCAATATTTTTATTATTTAATGTTTTTCAAATTGTATTTTATAGTTTAGTATTTATTTTGTTTTCGATTATTTTCTGTTTTTAGACTGGATTTATTTTTCCAATTTATCTTTTTTCAAATATTTGTTCTGACTTTTTGTGCCAAATAAAATTTTTAAGCAAAACTGAGTCTTCTGGGTTTCATTTAATTTCTTCAATTTCCATTTACAAAACAGTTTTTTTTTGTTTTGGCAAAAATAACAGAAAATTCACTCCATACAAAAATCCTCACAACAGTATCTGAAAGCTTGACCTGATTCTAAATAATATTTGAAGTTAAGAAAATCATCATCAGAGCATCTCATCTGACATTGTGGCGTAGAAAATGCAGTTAGAATCTGCAAACAGAACGACGTGTGAAAACCTGACCCCTCCCTTCCAGCTGCTGAAAGTTCTAGAAGCGGCTCTTACCTGGATGTACTCGGTTAGCGTGTTGAACACCTGTTTGGCCACGTTGATGGCCTTGGAGAAGTTCCTCTGGCCCTGCTCGTCAATCACGTCCTTCCCAGAGTAATACCAGTAGAAATCACTGATGGATTCCTGAGGAGAGGCAGGCGGAGGAAATTTCAGCTTTTTTCCAGTAGCATCGCGGCTAACGTCTGAGGCTACGTTCAGATAGTGACCTAATCCGATTTTTTTGCCCGTATGCGACCTGGATGTGATCTATTCAATCTGAACCACACGGATCCCATGTTTTCCAATGTGATCGATGACATTTGGTTCTGTGGTTCTGAATCCTTACAAATTAGATTTTTTCAAATGTGACCTGTGTCTGAATGGGCAGGTCGCATTCATCCGACCTGAACGCCATTAATACCAAAAAAAGGTCACTATTATGCGTCTTGTGACACAGGAGCAGGAAGAAAAACAGCAACCATGGCGGACCATGGAGAGCAGTATTTATTTTCAACCTTTCTGAAAAGATTGTGTTGTTAATGCACTGGCGCAGGTTTGGAAAGATCGTAAACACAGAGCTCACTCGCTACTATTGCGTCCTCTGCTGCGTATGCTGAATATGTAAGCTGTATGATCTGCTTCTGTCTCCTTGAACCCCAGTCGGCCTCAGCAGATGGCCGCTCACCCTGAGCCTGGTTCTGCTGGAGGTTTCTTCCCGTTAAAGGGAGTTTTTCCTCTTCACTGTTGCTACGAGCATGCTTAGTGTGAGGGATTGCTGAAGAGTCGATGCAATCAACTGGTTTTCCTTAGATAGAAAACTTTGAATCAATCTGACTGGATGATCTGGTGAACTGAGATGACTTGATGTGAATTGGAGTTATAGAAATAAACTCAATAGAAGTGAGCTGCATAAGCCGTATTAGCCTAAGAACGTGGAATGGTTTATAGACCAAACTAACAACGTTGCAAATTAAACATCAGCTCATGATAATTTGATCCATCTTCTGTCTACATTAGTCAGGAAGTTACTTTAGAAGTTTTAGAACAACAAATCATTTATTTTTGCAGTCACTGTCATTCTGCCATATCTTTCCAAACTGAATGAATCCTGAGGCGGTCATGGCTGATTATTGGCGATCAATAGAAAAGAGTCTTATACACCGATGTGTTTGGTTTTTCTAATGGTTCTCTGCGAACAGAACGGCGAACCTGAACTCTGAGCAGGTAGTCCACCGTAGAGATGATGATGTTCACGGTTGTGTTGTTCCCAGTTTGTGTCCTCAAGTAGTTCTGGAAATCTGAAACAGAGTCAACAAACGGCTAATATTACGATAAGGTTAAAGAGAAAGTTAAACACGGGAAGAGCAGCCGCTGCTGATTTATAACCTTCACTGTGATGAACTAGAGTAAAGGTCTGAGAGAAAACTGCTGCTGTTTGGAAAAGCTCAGCTTCTTTCTACGGAGTCGGACACTTTTCTGATTCCTTTAAATGTCCTGCCGAGTGTGATGTAGATATTTTACACTTTAAATATCCATCTTAATATTCTGTTTCTACACACAGGATCTTGAACTCATGAATATTTTTGACACATTGATTTTTTATCCGCCTTCTCACGCCTGCTACCAGCCTTTCTGACGTCTTTCACCTTTCCAGTTGGCTCCGCCCACCAGCTGGTCTGCCTTCATCCCCAGTTCATCACCACAGCATCCAATAAACCTTTGAAGGGTTAAACCATTGACTTGTCTGTCTCTGTTTCCAGCATAAGCTCAGAGG